CGAAAAAAAAGTTTTTTCTAGTCTGTATTTACGATTGTTAGTGGACTCTGCATTTGTCCCTTCATTCTTTTAGTAAGTTACTTTCGATTTTTTAGAAACAGAGGACCAGTTTCCGTTCGTTAGTAAAAGCAAGGTTACCGTAATCAAATGCTTTAGCGGTTGGAAACGGATCATTGTTTTTGAAATGTACTTGTGTACGAAACACTTTGCTTTGAATTTGAAAGAATAGGGACAAGTTTTTGTTTGCCATTTTATATTTTTCCGAAATTAGAGCTCCCTACTTCATCAAACTTATTCTATCCAGAATTTTAAAACTTTCGGCTTTCCTATTCTATGATACCAAGTCTTCCTCTGCAATAAAGCAATCAGCAAACTGCTGTAAATGTCCACAGTTTGAGAGTGTCCCACTTTTTTCAAAAAGAATTATCTTTGTTATTTTCCATCCTAGCCTTCTAAAAAAGAATCAGATTGGCTGCAAAAGCGTATATACTGCGCATTACCTTGGAAGTTTAATCAGAAAAAGAGCTCATTTCTAAAGGTTTGAAACCTTCCCTATAGTCTAACGAAATAGTAAACTTGCAACATTTCAGTTATCTTCTTCATAGCTTCTTATCGCTTTACTGCAGCATTCGCATGCACTTAGCTATTTGTTCTACGCAAAAGAAATAATTTGCGCTTGCTTTTTAGTATCCCTACTGTAACGACTTCGGCGCAGGTTAGGTATGGACGAGCTTTTAGCTTCACGCGATGCAAGCTCTCAAAATGAGAAGCAAGACATCGATGATGCTTCATTTCTGACTGCTCAAGAAAACCTTACTATGAACAGGTTGAAATAAATATGTAAAAATTTGATTTATCGCTGTGGAATCTGAATTTTTCTCAACCTTTTTGGAGTTTAGGTCTTTTTTAACCGATGATGATTCTTTCATCACTGTGAAGTCCGATATCTCGGATACGAGCAGGGATAATTCATACGAGCTGCTTCATCATGATTTGACAATAACAGAAGAATCCACAAAGGGTAAGACATTTCCTGCTTTTGTGCAATCGATGAGGTTGAGCACAGTAGTTAGAAACGTGCAATTACAGAAACCCATGCAGATAGTTTCCTATCACCCACTGTACCTATGAATGCAGCAAAAGAAGCTAAGGAAAACGAGATTACAAATTTGAGATACCAGCGCCCTTTACAGCAGGATCTTGATAACGTCAAGCTGGATGGGAATTCTGAAGCGAATAGAAAGTAATGCGTTAGATTGCGGTAGTTTATCATGTCATTCTAGAAGGAAAAAACTGCTATCAAAAAAGCACTTTTGATTTTAATTAAAAATAGGTCAAAAATGAAAGTTAATCGAAAATTCTCCTTAATTCTTGCTCGTAAGATTGAACACAATGAGATGAGCTTTACTGTAATAATAGTGCAACGGTACACTATACACCGATTCTAGAAGGTAAGCGTGTATTTAGCTGAGAGCAATTAGCATGTATCCGGCTATTTTCCTTCGAATTCTTTTCTGCAATTGTTGGATGCTCCATAGTTATACCATGCGGACAGTAAATTCCCAATCAAAACGTAGAGAAAAAAGGAGCCAGTAATATGTTATCCCCAATTTTTTGAATGTAGTTTCTACATTAATCTAGAGATATTTGTTCCTTATCTTTCTCCTTTTCTCTTCACTTTTGCCTCTCTAGGAATTGGGATTAGTAGAAAATTATTTCTTGTAAACATGAATTATTTCAGGGAGTCAGCGAATACAACAAAGCCCAGAAAAAGCAAGATGAAAATCCCCAAAAGCTACT